CCCCCCCCCCCCCCCTGTGCTAGGGGCCCGGACCAGAAAATTGGTACCAGGGCCCGAGATGGAATGTGGCGGGCCTGTCCGCTATAGACCTCGGAACTTCGCATGTTTGGTCGAATCCTAGACTTTCTAATCACTATCTTGATCTTTCAAATACGCAGTCCAAAAAAGTGCCCTGCATTTTATGTTAATACGTGAAGTAGAACAAAAAGTAACCTATAATCGCGGTTAACATTTTTTTCGTTAGTTTCTCTTTAGGTTACGTTGATTAGATTTTTGGGTTCAAAATTTGCAACCTCGTTAAAAATCAGAAGCAGATAGCCAGGATCGAACCTGGGTCGCATGAGTGACATTCTGATTTGCTAGCCACTTGCAAGTCGCAATCTTTAAATGATATTGAGAGGAGCAAGATGAGTGCATTAATTCAGCAGGACACTTTCTTTACCTACAAATGCCTCAGTCACGCAAAAAAATAATATTCATTCGATGGAAAAACCTACTTATTAATTTAATTCTTTGATCTGATTTCAGTAAATTGATAGTAAAGTTAGAAGTTTCCCCTGAGTAACATTGTTTACTGGAAGAGTATTTGACACCTTCAAAAGGACAACTGTGAGTTCCTGGTTTCAGACCTCTTCTATATACACCCTTCCGCCTCTCCAAAAAATTAAAACACTGTCGAGCACGCCCCATTCGAAGATCTCCAAGTTTTGAGGACTCTTCTTGAAAGCGGTACTTGAACTTTTATGCATCCTGTTTCAAGAGGAGAACTTTCCTAATTGAACTTGATACGAACTTGCTGCCGATGCTCCCCGAAATTTCAACCAATGAGAATCGAGAGTACATGAATCAACGATTTCCAGAAGATAATGGAGAAGCGATCAAACAGATTCGCGGAGAATAGGTGGAAAAAATATGGCGGCCATTTTCTCGAGCAAAATATAATTTAAAATGTACGCGTGGTAAATGTAATGTAACTTTACCGATGCATATGTCTAAATTAGTATAATCTATATTTGTCTGGATACCTGGACCAAAAAGTTTGGTCTCCCATACGAACTAAAATTTTCCTGTATTTTAAGGATGAGGAAAAAATATGTCAAAATAATCACAACTTTGTACGGTGCTAAGGAACACTGTTTGAATTTCCACCCGTTCTCAAAGGTCCTTTGATAAAAACATAAATTTTCAGAGGAACTTGTGAATAATTTTCTTTGCATTTTTCAGGGAATATTATTCGCCATTTCATCCAACTTTTCTGAAATTTTTGAGGAAAAATATTCACAACTTTCTTCAAAAATAAATATTTATCCAGGAGAATTTGGCGACATCCAAATTTCCATGCAGCGTTTGAGTACGCTGCCGTCCTGCGGAAGAATGGCGTATGAGCCTTTAGACGTTGCCATATTTCCTTCAATAAAAGTCTAATTTACTGGGAACATTGTGAATATTTTTCTTCAAAATTTTCAGACTATTTTGTTCGCAAATTAATCTAACATATCTGAAAATTTCAAGGCAAAAGAAACATTACTCTCTTCAAAAATTCATATTCTATCCAGGGAAATTTGACAACTCTCGGATGTCCATACGGCGTTCTTCCTTAGCGTAGCAATATCGGAGGACCATATCGTTTCGCGTCAAAAACTCCCGCAAGTAAATAACGCTCGGCACGGCGGCTGGTTGGTGGACTGAGGCTCCGGAATAGATAGATAAATAAAAAGACGGATAATTGGATAATTGAGCGGTGAATAAAAAAGGCAACAATAAGAGAGAAAAACGGGCATTTGATGCGAGGAGTGAAAGGTGGAATGATGATTGTTTATAACTCACCCTGCAGTCGTCGGCGAAAGCGGCTCTGTTGTGAGTTCTATTACGAAATTACGTCGTTCCATCCCTAAGAGCTCGAGGGGGCTGAAACGGGCTGAAATTAAGCCGCGAGCCCATCCACTCGGCGGCAATTATCGCCGTGTCCACATCACTCGCTCACACGCCCGCTCCAAATCCCTGACGCAATTTCACGCTCGGACTGGAGCATGTCAAAAAAAGATTTTCCGTCCCTAGGTTCGGCCGAGCCGCCCCGCTGCCCAGGATCTGAAATTAAATGCCCATATAGTTGTATTCTACCATGCCAAGGAAAAACGCCGTATGAACCTTTGAGCGTTGCCAAATTTCCTTCGATAAAATTTTTATTTTTGAGCAAAGCCACGAGTGTTTTTCCTTTAAATTTTCAGGAACTTTAGGTGAGACTGTGAAAAAAATTATCTGAAAAATCGGAGGAGAAATATTTACAAATTATCGGAAAATTCGTGATTTACCAAAGGAAATTTGGCAGCGCCGAGGTTCATACGGTGTTTTTCCTTAGCAATATTCGTCTGCGCTCATTCGAATGCCGTGCACGTACAAATTGTAAAAATGGGACTCCTTATTTATTTTCATTTATTTATTTATGTATTGGTGTGTATATGTATTCATTTATTTTTATACGAACCCCTGAAAACTGATTTTTTACAAATACTCTCCGAGTTCACTTCGTCTCAATTTTTTTGTTGCCCTGGGGTATGATTGACTCATATTGGTATTATTGGTGCACTTCAATCATATTTTTTTTTAACGGTGCAAAACCTAAATTGATAGAACCAGCCATGCTTACACAGCCGCACTAACATTTTGACGTTGCCAAATTTCTCCGATAAAATATTCATTTTTGAGGGAAGTTATGGGAGAGTGTCACCCATTGTGAAGTCACTGAGATCCATACAGAGCAGGAACATCTTGAACCGGTCCAATTTCCATTTTTCGGGGCGCACGGAGAGCACCCAATGAGAGGGTGGAGGGATGTAACTGGACTGCGTTAAGCAGAATGGGACCAAGCGACATTAGCTATTACCAAACGGAAATAGGCAATTTAATTTTTTACATGTAAATGGTCATGCGGATTTTTGTGCAAATAGTGAATTTCCTGCACAATACGAAGCAAAATACTTAAAATTTTCATAGGAATCCGCACAAACATTCCCTTCAAAAAATTGAATTGCCCAGTTAAATTTGTAAATAGCTGATGTGGCTTGTTTTCTTTCTGCTTAACGTGGTCCATTTCATATTGTCCGAAAACTGCAAGAGAGAAGCCCCCGCCCACAGTTAGGCAGGTAGGTGTAACAATCACGAGCGCCTTCAACTACAGATGCATACAACTATTCATACTCCGAATACAACTATTCGTACTCAATGGACGTCCGTGTTGCATACGCCTAAATTGAAGGCGCTCGGATTATCCTGGCCGTCTGGTCTCGTCGTCGCGGTAGTCTTAAGAAGTACACACTGTGCAGTTATTATCGTACATTATTACATGTAAACGGTTGTCCGGGTTTGGATTTGGTTTGGACCGCGTTTAGCAGAAAGGAACCAAGCCACATCAGCATCAGCTATTGCCAAAAAAAATTGGGCGATTTAATTTTTTACTGGAAAACGGTAGTGCAGTTTTGGGCGAATTTTAGTGAATTTCCTGCATAGTACGAAGCGAAATACTCCAAATTTCAAAAAGAATCCGCTCAAACGTTCTCTGGTAAAATTTAAATTGTCCAGCTAAATGGCAATAGCTGATGTGGTTTGGTTCCTCTCTACTAAACGCGGTCCATTTTGCCTTGAAATTTTGAGATGCTCTGAATAAAATTGTTAATGAAATTATCTGAAAAATTTTAAGACCAATATTCTTAGATTTCCTTCAAAAATTTAATTATATCGATGGAAACTTGGCAATGCCTTAAGGCTCATACCGTGTTTTGCCCAAAAGGGCTCTGTGGTGATTATCGCAAGTTTACAGCAGTATATTTCGTCTATTTAATTGCATCGTAAACGATCGATCTTTTTTTTACGCAGTCTTGGGGTAACCCGAACCAATTTTTTCTTTCTGATGTTCAGTTGGTTCTTCTTCTCGTCAGTTTTTTAACACGATGCTTAGGAACAAAATACCACAGCCCATATTTTGGTTCAAAATATTTTGGCTGTTAGTCTATTCGCGGTGAGGATGATCATTTATCTGTTTTTTGTAGAAAGACCATTCATACTAATTTTGCGGTGCAAACCAGACGCATGACCATAAGCAGCCAAAATTCGACTTTTTTTTTAAAAAAAAAAAAAGGAAAAGAAACTGACCTTATACTTTTCAACATTCTCCATGCAAGAAAATGATCTGATAAAATCTAAAATGCAGACTGTCAAGATAAATAAAAGTGGGATTCTATCAAAAGGGTAGACTAATTCTCTAATTTAGATGCTTTCAAATGCCCTCAACGTTTTCTCTCATGCAGAAATTTTGTGCGAAAAAGTTGATTTCGATACAGCGTTCAACGCAAGATATGTTTGCTCAGGTGAAAGTTTCTCAATGTGCTGATAATGATTTCTAATTTTGCATTAAAAAAGCAACTGTAATTATTTGGATGCAAAAACATGCATCAGCTAAATACTGACTACAATCTTTGCGGAAAGATCTAGGAAGAGGGAATGGTTCGTTACTATGCATATGTGCACATATGTCTTCATTCCTAATAAGTTAGCAGGCAGTAAAAATTATGTTCCTCGTGCATTTTGAAAACTACTGTGAGATTGAATTTTAGACGTATCTTAGAGTTGCAGGAATATAATGTACAGTTTTAGCACTCGTGTTCATTTGGTGCTCATTTCTATACTCCGTATATCAACAGCGCAAGAAATTACACGTAAGTGTATTGACGATACAGCTACTGAATCACGTACCTCAACCGCGCTGCTTTATATTACTCTCTATTTCTAAAATTATTACCAGGCATTTTTGCACAGACTTTTGTGAATGGTCTTGAAACGGCAAAAAAGAAGGAAAAAATCACTGGAAATTTTGTGCGATACAACAACAATTAGTCATCTTCCAGAAAGGGTAAAATAGAGCGGCGAAATCTGCAACATCGCGACCAAAGATACATAGTTTGTAGTTTCACCCCCGGAATGACTTAGCCTCGCAGTTTCGCGATGAACTTCTGAATCTCGATTATGCGACCTGGTGCACTGCGCGTAGTGCAATATTCTCATGAATGAATGAATTCGTGGTATTAAAAAAACTTCTTCAAGTACTCATATCAAATCCAACCAAATACTCATAACCAAACTGCAAAAAGCGCCCTTATCATTACAGACACTGATTGCGAATGGAAGAGGTCGCGAATTAGAGAATTAGAGAGCGGAAACACCAATTATTCCTCTTCTGCGGAGCGGAACTGGAGGGGGGGGGGAGGTCGGATCGGTCCAACCATTGACCACACACCTCTAATCCAAATAAATTCTAGGTCAAATGTGCTCCAATCCGGCGTTCTGCCATTACACCGCTGTGAGATTCGAGTTCCTCTTAGTTGAAGTTTAGCATGCGACAAAAGTTTCCGTCGACTGAAGTCAGAAAAGTTTACTTATCTTTTGTCCTCTCCGTAACGAGTTTTCAATGTTTAGGAGCTCAACACTCGCACAAAAGAGTGGTTTTCTTTTCATCTTTCCGGCTTCAGTGTGGTTGTGATAATCTCTCATTGTTCCGACACTTTCCGTGAAGATGAAATCGCGTTTAAAGTGATAGAAACAGAATTGAAAAACAGATCGAGTTTTCTTTTATACTTTTATTTTTTTCTCTTGATTTAAAGAGAGGTACATTTTTTGGCTTTTTCGTGAACAAACAAAGAAAATTTTAAGTCCTCGCAAAGTAAGCCTTTGAAAATTAAAATTACAAGTCTTTTTTCAGAAAATAGAGTCACAGGTTCAGTTCATCTGTGCATACTGATGTCCGTATCCTTTCATTATTTTTAAGGAGGGGTGGGGTATAGGTGGAATCTTCTTTTGATTAGCAAATTAACTTTTCTTCTCAAGAATGAGTAATATCCAGACATTCAAATACATAACTTCTACACATTATGAGCTTTAAACGTTTTATAGGCTTCCAGTTTCCGTGTAATTCCTTAACAGAAGTGTTCAAGAGTTGCTGTACAAGCCTTGTTTACAAGTACACGGAAAAAAAAGTTTGACACATACATCCAGAATTCTGGTTGGCCCAAACATAAAGTCTGATTGCATTTCGCAACCAGACTTTCTGGTTGCGCCAACCAGCCGTTTCTGGTATGTCCAATCAGAAGTTTCTGGTTGCCGTAACCAGAAATTCTGTTTCAATCAACCAGAACTCTGGTGAGGTCACCCATAATTCTGGTTACCTTTAACAGAAATCTGGTTACGTGAACCAGAAAATCTGGAAGTCAAGATCAGAGTTTTCCCAGGAGTGCAGTCTCCCCCCCCCCAAAAAAAAAAATTAAATTTAGCCGAAATTTAAATTTAAAAAAATACGAAAAAATAAAAAATATAGAAAACTCCATCTCATTTTACTTTTAGCACTAGTTGCAATGGACCACTAGACAAAGTACGAATTCAAGCATTCTGATACATGTTTCTTAACCAGAATTTCACGTAGAGCAGGATTCGCGCAACGAAAACTAATGAAACAAACTCCAAACGAAGATATTAACGTTTTTATTACACATTGGTTACGAGGGATTTGAACTGCCCGCTCACAAGAAACTCAAAGCTCTACGTGAGTCAAATCGCCCACTGCAACGGTTTCAGGAAGCTTCTCAATCGAGTAATGTTCCTTTCTCACCATGTGCTGTTCAAACTATAAGCAATTTGCTACAGCTGAGCCAAAGCGTCAAGATTGAGGCTGCCAGATTTTTACATCGCAGGGACTGTCATGATAACGTTTAGCGCGCGATGTGAATCGCGCAGAGCATTGAGTTTTCATGAGCGGGTGGTTTGAATTCATGCATCAATAATCATTAAATATCTTAGTTAGGAGTTGATTTCGGTAATTTTCGTTATGCGCGTCGTATTCTAGGTGAAATTTTGGTTAAAAATCATGTATTAGAATGCTGAAATTCGCACCTTGTCTAGTGGTCCATTCAAACACACGATATGATGATTTTGTACCCTGACCGGGGATTGAACCTGAGCCTACAATTTCCTAACCTAACACGCTAACCGTTACACCACGAGAACCGATGTCAACTTCCGACTGGAATGAGATA